GTCCTCTTCAGAACCGTTTGAAGCATCCTGGAAGCTCTCGTCGGCCACTGTAGCCTCTCGAGCCAAACCTAGGCTGCACGATGCACCAGCTTCCTGACCGCTGTCCGGCGACGCCTGCTGCCTCGCAGGGTTCACCTCGGTGTCCCCGGATGAGCTTCTGCCCTCGCTGCTGCGTGATGCCTCACGCATCCGCTCTTCCACCTCCCCTTCAGAACCGTTTGAAGCATCCTGGAAGCTCTCGTCGGCCGCTGTAGCATCTCGAGCCAAGCCTAGGCTGCACGATGCACCAGTTTCCTGACCGCTGTCCGGCGACGCCCGCTGCCTTGCTGGGCGCTCCCCGGTGTCTCCGGACGAGCTTCTGCCCTCGCTGACAAGCGACATCTCACGCTTCGGCCCTTCTATCTCCTCTTCAGAGCCGTTTGATGGATCCTGGAAGTTGCTTTCGGCCGCAGTTGCCTCACAAACAGAATCCACACTGCGCACTCCACCACCCTGAACACTGTCTGCCGATGCCTCAGGTCCCGCCGGGCGCGCCTCCCTGTCCTCACACGAGCTGATGCCCTGGCTTCCACGCGACCCCTCGCGCTTCGGCTCCTCAGTATCCCGTATAGCCACGTCCACCGCATCCTGAAAGGCTCGGCCAGTATCCTCCACAGGTGTGAAGGCTGACCAAAAGCTGCTCCATAGCGATCCACCAGCCTCCTGGGCACGTTCAGTAGAAGGCCCCTTCTTCGAGTTGCGCTCCTGGGTATCCCCACACGAGTTTCTATCCTCGCTACCACGCGAAACCTCGCGTTTCGGCTCTGTGGCCTCCCGTCCAGCCTCTTCAGACGCACTCTGGTGGCTCTGTTTGGTCGCAGCAGCGTCTATACATGAAACGAAACTGCTGTATGGCGCTTCAGCAGCTCCCTGAACATGGACTGGGGCAGCGCTCTGCTCCGCCTGCGGCCTCTGCGTATCCTCACATGAGCGTCGACCCTCGCTGCCGCGCGACACCTCACGGTCTGGTTCTGCCGACTCCCCTCCAGAACCGTTTGACGCATCCTGGAAGCTCTTGCTTGTCTCGACAGACTCTCGAACGGAACTCAAGCTGCTGCATAACGATGGGCCAGCCCCACGGTCACTATGCAGTGACGGCCCCTGCATGTGGCCGAACGAACTTCTACCCTCGCTGATATGCGATATCTCGCGTTTTGGCCTTTCCGTCTCCTCTCCGAAAACGTTTGACCCATCCTGGGAGCTCTTACTGGCATCAAGAGCATCTCTAGCCGAACCTACACTACTGGAAAACGAAGTATCAGCCCTCTCTACATCGATTGACAGATCGCCATTGCTGGTCTGGCGCTCCTTTCTATCCGCATACGGGTTGCTGCATTCGCTTCCACCCGATATCTCGAGCTGAGGCTCTTTCTCCACTTGCACTGAACCGTTGGACCCAGGCTGTGAACACTTGTCGTCCACCGCAGCCTCCCTAACCGGACCAAAGCTAAACGATGCACCATCTAAAATGGCAGTACTGACAGGCTGAGGGCACTGCTGCTCCTGAGGTTCCTCCTTGTCCCCACTTGAGCTTCTGTTGTCACCGCCACGCGACGCCTCGCCCCTCGGCTCTTCCGCCTCCCCTTCAAAACCGTTTGAAGCATCCTGGAAGCTTTCGTCGGTCACAGCAGCCTCCGAACCAGAACCCAAACTGCTGCATAACGATGTACCAACTCCCTGAGCAGTGTCAGGAGGCGCTGCCTGTCTCTCCTCCCGCTCGTGCACATTTCCAGACGAGCTTCTACCCTCGCTGACGGGCGATGCCTCGCGCTTTGACTTTTCCGCCCCCTCTTCAGAACCGTTTGACACATCCTGGAAGCTTTCGTCGGTCACAGGGGCCTCCCGATCCGAATCCAGACTGCTGCATAACGATGCACGAGCCCCATCATCACTAGCTGGCAGACCGCCACTGCTGGCCTGGCGCTCCTGCCTATCCCCACCCAAAACCTCGAGCTTTGGCTCTTCCATCACCTCTACAGAGCCATTTTGTGCATCCTGGAAACTTT